TAAAATCTTTAAAAAAAGAAAAGCAAAAATTAAAAGAATGTATCATTATCAACTGGACATGAAAGAATGACCAAAAGGGCTATAATAAAGCAACAAGAAAACAACAAAACAAAAATCTAGAGGTAACAGACACCTAAATAATACAACAAGGAAGAGAGGGAGAGTGAAAATGTGGCTCAGCAGAATCAGTGGTCATTTTTACAATGCCAGTTAGGATGAGATCCACTGTCCCTGGGAGGCAAAGTCCTGGGTCCAAACTCTGTGGCTGGCATTGCTAAGCTGGAAAAAGTGAAGGCTAAAGAACTTCCCACCAAACTAGGCTAGATGTTGCTATTGTATCTTCTGTACATAAAAATAATAAAAGTCATCCTTTAAAAATAAAAAGAATATAATAAAGACCATATATCACAAACCTACAGTCAATGTAACAGTTCATGGTGGCAAGGTGAATTTTCCCCTTTAATATCAAGAATAAAGCAAGGATGCTCACTGTTACTTCTGTTCAATTGTTAGAGGTTTTAGCTTGAGCCATCAGACAACAGGAAATTAAAGGGATCCAGGTTGGAAAACAAGAAGTAAAACTATCACTGTTCAAAATAATATAATATGATATGATGTTGATATGAGATGAAATGATATAATATAGAAAGCTCTACAAACTCTACCAAAAAAGATATTAGATGAATACAGCAAAGTGGACGTTTACAAAATCAACATATAAAAATCTATTGCATTTTGATGCATGAATAATAAATGAGAAGAAAAAAATTAGGAAATAATTTCATTTGCAATCACAACAAAAAGCATCATATACCTAGGAATTAAGCTGACCAATGAAGTGAAAGACTTGTACAATGAAAAGTACAAGATATTCTAAAGGATATACATCATGAGAGGGAAAACATTCTATGTTCTCCTGATTGGTATAAATACAATCAAAATGATTATTCCACGAAAAGTGATATAGAAATGTAATGCAATCCCCATTAAAATACCAACACTCTTCTTCACAGAATAGAAAAAAAAATGTTACAAGTTCTATAGAATCTATAAAAGGCCTTGAATAACTAAAGCAATCCTGAGAAAAAGGAGAGAAACAGAGGCATCATGTTACCTTACTTTGTACTATAAAATAACAGTAATTAAAACAATATGGTATTGGAATTAAAACAGACATAGGGCTCAGTGGAACAAAATAGAAAGTCCAGAAAAAACCCACATGCATATTGGTACTTAATTCATGATGTAGGAGCTACTACCATGCAAAGGGGAAAGCAAAGTCTTTTTAACAAATGGTTCTGGGAAAACTGAACAGTCACATGTAGAAGAATGAAGTTGGATTGTTCGAACTCCATGCACAAAACTAAATTCAAAGTGGATTAGAGACTAAGACCTACAACAATAAAATATATAGAAAAAACATTGTTGATACATTTCATGACATCAGTCATAAAGATGTTTTTTGGCGACTCCACCCTTACAACAAGGGAAATAAAAGCAAAAATAAACAATTAGAATTACCTCAAATTGAAAAGCTTTTACACAATGAAAGAAAATATGGGTAGTTTTAAGAGACAGCTTACTGAGTGGGAGAAAATTCACATATTATGCAACCAACAAGGGGTTAATATCTAAGACATACAAAGGCTTATTCAATTAGGCAATAAAAACACCCCTCAAAACCCAACTGCCAAGTGAGCAGCAGAAGTGAACAGACAATTCACCAGGAAGGATATTGAGAAGGAAAACAGACACATGGAAAATGTTCATCATAATTTTCAATAAAGGAGAAGAAGGTGAAACCACAGTGAGATACTATCTCCCACATACAAAAATGACACATGTTACAAAGATACTCAACAAGTGCCAGAGAAGATGCAGAGAAAGAGGAGCCTGTGATAATGTTGTTGGGAATGAAAACTAGAGCATCCATTTTAGAAAATGATTTGGATTTCTCCTTAAAAAAGTAAAAATAGAAATAAATACCTGATGACCCAGCAATCCTATTCTTGCATTTATCTGAAGAATATGAGCTTATCAACACGAAAAATTATATGGTCCACATTGCTTATTATAGCATTATTTACAATAGCAAGGATATGGAAACAACCTAAGTACCCAATGATAGAAAACCAAATCAAGAAGATGTGGCATATATACACAATGAATTAGTATTTAGTCACAAGGAAATATGAAATGTTGCCATTTACAACAAAATGGAAAGAGCCCTAGTGAATTGACAAAGATGCATACATCGCGGATAACTTGATAAAGCAAAATGCTTCGGAAAACTGTTGGTCATTAATAAAGTTAACTCTCTAAATTAAGAGGGAGTCTACGGCCATACCACCCTGAACACACCTTATCTTGCTGAAACTAAGAGAGAAGGGGGATGGAGAAAGTGTTAAAATGGCATAAGGTATGATGGGGGTGGAGGAAGAATGTGAAAGATAGGCTGAAGAAAATATTTACAACTCTTATTTCTAATAAAGAACTTGTATCCAAAACTTACAAAGAACTCTCAAATTTCAAGTAAGAAAGCAAATAACCCGATTTTTAAAATGGGCAGGATGCTTGAACAGGTATTTTCCTCAATGTATGGATGACATCTGGATAAACACATGAAAAAATGTTCAGCATCATAAATATATTTATACTAAAACTTACACTCCAATATTTATAGCAGCTCTATTTATAAAAGCTCCAAACTGGAAGCCATCAGAATGTCTTTTGATAGGTAAATGGATAACAATGGTAAATCCATACAATGGAATACTGTTCAACAATAAAAAGGAATGAACTTCTGATACATGCAACGTCTTAGGTTTTTTTTTTTTTAATAGAGGCATGTTTATTTATTTATTTATTTATTTGTTTGTTTGTTTTGTTTATACATGCACTGGGCACAGTCAGAAGCGCAGGAGGGTGAGAGAATTCACCAGAGCCAGAGCGGGGAGCAGAGCAGGCAGAGGAGCCTAAGTACACTGCTGAGGGGAGCAGCAGGCCGCAGGAGGGGTCTGTGCGCCATGTGGGACCCTCCTCCGGTGGCCGGGGAGCAGCCGGGGATCGAACCGGCGCCGCAGAGGCTGCGGGCAGCTTCGCAACCCAGCGCTCAACCGCTGCGCCACGGGGGAGGCCCCAACAACTTAGGTTAATTCCAAAGATATATGCTGCACAAGAGTCCAGTCTCAAAACCTTACATATTTAATATCTTCATTTATGTGCTCTTCCCTGAACTACAAAACTACAGAGATGGAATATGGACCAGTCATTATACATGTCTGGGAGCGTATAAAGGAATTGCATGAAGGGGTTTTGGGGTTAATAGAGCTATTCTTTAACCTGATTGTGGTGGGTATACAAATCTAACAATTTTCTATAAATCTGTTCAAATTTTTGCCCCCAAATTGTTTATTATACTCTCTAATAACTTTTTAAATGTTTCATGAAAGGGTAACTGATGCATAAATACCAAACCAGTAAGAAGACAAAAATAGGACTAAAGAAGTAAGACACACTCTTAGAAAGAAAGTATATAGATGAGCAACAAGCTTAAGCAACTAACTACAGAAAAGTGGTTACCCCAGGGGAAAAGTGAGGAGCCAAGAGGGAAGAAATGTTTTATTTCTTTTTATAAAGAGGTACCTGACAACCAAAGTGTTCACCCACAAAAGTTACACCCATACAATGGCATATTATTAAGCTATAAAAGAATAAAATTCTGACATATGCTACAACATGAATTAACCTTGGAAACAAAATGCTAAGTGAAGTAAGCCAGATACAAAAGAATAAGTGCCGTGTGGTTCCACTTGTAAGAAATATCTAGAATGGCCAAATTCATAGTGACAGAAAGGAGATGAGAGAGAGCAGGATGAGAGTGGGGGTGGGGGAGAAGAGGGGAGTGGGGAATTATTATTTAATAAGTACAGATCTTCTGTTTGGGGTTGATGCAAAACTTTTTGAAATAGTGGTGATAATAGCACCACATTGTGAATGTAATTAATGCCATTGAATTATATCACTTTTGATAAAGGAGATGCAGGTGACACCCACATGGTTAAAATGGCAAATATTTTACCACCATAAAAAATAATGTGACACACTAAACCACTGAATTGTACACTTAAATGGGTGAATTGATAGTATGTGAACTGTCTCCAGAGATCTAGTGAAAGAAAATAGGAAAGGAAAACTAGCAAATCTTAGTGATCAGTATGTAAGTGTCATTTTACTTTCTTTACTTGTGAAATAATTCAAAATGTTTCATATTAACGAAATCATTTTTAAAGAAAATGGAGCTCTTACAGGGCTCAGTGTAATTTAATTCTGTACCTATGAATTATATAAGATCTCATATCTTTTACCCTGCTACAAGGTATAATATTGGGAATAAGTCACAGAAGGGCCATTTGCTAAGAATTAGGTGCCTGAGTCTATGTCTCCCTAACAGACGAGTGTCCTTGGGAAGTTACTGAACATCTGGATGCTAAATCCTCATCTTAGACATTTTCTCTCCCCTTATAATGTATGTGCATTGTAATGTAGAGAATGACAGATGAATGTACAAATGTCAGGATGTGTTAAACACAAATTAAACATGGAGGAAATTCACAGAGCTCATCATGGCCAATGCTTTGACCATCTTCCCATCAAGCCCAATGCAGGCTACTTTCACAAGTGTCCCCACTTGTGTACCAGGATCATCCCTGGCATGGAGCACAGGGAATCATGGAATCAGAAGGGGAGATAAATCACCACACCCCTTCCTCTGCAAGCCAGAGCTGGCATATGGCTCCATGGCTTGACATCATTCTGCACGTTCTGACTTTCAATGTGCGCTGGGGAGAAACAAAACAATAGAAGCCAAGGAAACTTTTTTGTGGGAGAGGCGCACACGGCCCAGAGTGGTATCCACTGCCCCAGGAGCATCTGCTAAAATTTTGTGGGATGCCCACCCTCTCCTTGTCCCCTTGGAGCAGGGGCTGGAGGCAACTTACCCACGCTGGCCAGGGTATACTGGTAAGGCTCCGAGAGAAAGTGTGGGAGGGTGAGGACAAAGGCACCCAAAGCCAGGAGGAGACCTCCAATGCCAATCAGCCTAGGGCGGTGCACCCGGCTGCCAAAGTAGCTGACGAAGATGATGAGGATGGCATTACTGATCTGTGCAGAGAGCAGAGGGGTTGAGTGAGACCAAGACTCCATCCTTCCCATCCACAGAGGAGATCTGATGGTACCTTGTCCAGAGTGGCTGGAGGCTGCCCCATGTCAATTGGAGCCCCGGCAGAGCCACAGTGTCAGCCTTACCCAGAGAGGCTCTTGGTGGGAAGTTTCAGAAAAAGGGAAGTATCTAGAGAACATGAAAAGCTCAGAGCCCCAATTTCAGGCACCTTAGGACCAAACCTTCTAGAGCAAAGTCCAAGGAAGTCTCTGCTCCTGGTTGGTCTCTAGAAGCAGCACCTTGTTCCCTAACTAAACTCCATCAGGACTCTGACTCAGTTGTCAGAATAAGCACTTTGCAGCATGCACTATCTCATGGCATCATGCTACAGCTCCTTGCACAGAAGACAAGACTGGGGCTCTGAATATTAAGTCGCTTGCACAGGTCCTTGAGGTTGGGAGGTGGTTGGATTTGGAATTGTCTGGAATTGCCTAACTGTAAAACGCTTCATCCAAAGAGATTTATTGCCTCTTGGCGGGAAGGTTTTGGTCCCAACAGCTCTTCTAATAACCTGCCCTTGGCCCTCCCTGGGTCTGCTTCCACTTCCATCAAATGAGGGATCAGGACTAAATTACCCATAAGTCCCTTCAGAGATTGTTTTCCTTTTACCCTTTGTGAGCGAGAACCACCTGCATCACAGGGTTATCAAAGTCACAGGCCAACGTTTAGAAGGGTGCAAGCTGTATGCAAAGAGCTGGTTCACTGTCCTGGAAGAGAGGATGAGCTATATGGAGAGGTGACCCCAGTCACCAGGGATCACCAGGAAACTCAAGACACAGATCACAATCAGACATACACAAACATACACACACAGAGACATTAAACACACAGACTCACACAGAGAAAGAAGTGAAGCAATGCATGCAGGATAGGAGTTCGAGGGGGAAGGGTCTGAGTGCCACCAGGCCGGCAGTGAAGACTCAGATGGGCCACAGGGCTTGTGGACAAGGGTCTGAGGTGGGGAGCGGGGGCAGTGGAAGACATTGTGCTTGCTCCCCCACCTGCATTCCTGGACTGGGGACAGGTAGAGGCCACATAAAGTCATGGTTCATCACAGAACTCAATTAGAGGTAGACAACCTGCACACCTGGAGCAAGCCACAGCACCTGCTGAGCTGCACTGTCCTCATCTGCAGGGAAGGCCTCAGGAAATGTAGTGTTCCTGCCATGCTCGCCTACCATTGGACTTAGCTGTCTCCATTGGCCACACGTACATCCCAGCTCCCCGTCCTCTGCTCCTCTGAGCCTTCCCCAGATCCAGAGGTCAGGGTAGAGCACAGTGAGGTCTCCATGGACCAGAAGCTCCTGCTTACCTCATTCAAACTGGAAATGAGACCCGAGGAAGAACTGGAGAGGCCAAAACGCTTCTCAATGGTGGTGAGGCTGCTCTTGAAGTAGGCACTGTACAGCAGCTGGCAGAGCTGCAGGATCCCATGGCAGAGCACGAACACCTGGGGAGAGACCATGGGCCTGTGAAGCCTTCCATTCTGGGGTCCCCGAGGCCTGTTTCCTCACCTGTTACTTGGGAACACTCACTTCAAAGGTGAGACCTGGGGGTGAAATGTCATCATAGCTCTAACCACTTTTCATCCCATAGACTCACGCAGTCTGTGTTAGCCATTCCCACCATTCCTGCCATTCTTATCACCGTGACCGTAAATGGTGACTAAAACCACAGGGTTGGAGCAATACCCTCAAGGGAATGATCTGACATCACCAGGCACCCAGGTCACTCAGCCCTTTGAATTGTTCTGACAGCACAGCAGAGACCCCCAGGGTGTGGCTCTGTCTCTCCTGTGTCCTGTGAGGACTGACAACACCTCTCCTGCCAGTTCAAATAACTCCCAGGGGAGGCTCTGGGTCACACTGCCCCGCTCTCTTGGTCTGTCCTCCAGCCTCTCTTCCCCATCAATATGCAACCTATAAAACCACTCCAAATATCCCAAAGAGGGGATCCCCCATGTGGTCCCCAAAGCATTTGGTATGAATGGTCTTCCTCAAGCCTGTAATTACCCCTATTAGCACTAACTATGGTTGTGCTTGTGCCTCCCCTGGAGGGATGATAGGGCCTACATCATGTATCTCTAGGTCCTACCCTGCCCTGAATGCCTTGCCCTGGATGTAAGTGAGTAAATGTGAGTTCTGAAGTTGATGGGGACAGATAGGAGTTCGAGACATGAGCAGTCAGCTCCAAGCTGAGCTCTGGGACCTCTTGGGTTCTCACCTGGGTAAACAGACTCAGAGCCAAGAGTGCCATATTCCTAAGCCCCTTTCACCACTTACCTGACATTGACCCCCCCACTCTCCACCCCAACACACACACACACACACACACATACACACACACCACCCTTCTGGAGATTGCATTTTTCCTCCAGGGAAGGACCCTGCCAAAGCTTCTTCCTTAACTGAAAGGCTAGCATCTCAGGAGAGCAGGTGGGACTCCACTTCCATTTCCATTTCCTTGTAAAGCGGAGCCTGCCTCCTCCACAGGGGTCCCACTCCAGATGGTGGGAGTGGAGCTGATTAGGCTAAGGCACTAATCCATCCCTGATTTCCTAGCAAGGTTCTACTCTGCTTCATTTCACATATTGAAGCTCTTTTTCTTCTAAATTTACACTTGTACTGAACTGGTTTATAACATATAGGTTTTAAGTATGCAACATTAAAATTTGACATTGGTATATGCTACATTATGATCCCCACCAAAAGTCTAGTTTCTATTCTCTACTATACAGCTTTTTACCTGATGGAATTCTCAATGTCATTTTGAAAATGATCTATTCCCACTCTCTTTTACAAATGTGAAAGCTGAAGGCAGAAGAGGAGGACCCTGAGTGCCTTCCATTTGTAGATTCTTGGCTTAGGTGTCCGCGCTTGAGATGCCCGGAGTGGACAATGACACTCCTTCAAAGCTGAGCTCAAAAGATGAGGTCTTTGTTCCCTCCCCTTCGATAGGAGCCAATATTAGCTACTTTCCTCTAATGAAGAAAATGAAGCAGAAGTGATGCCCTGTGAATGCTGAGGCTAAGTCCTCAAAGCCAATAGAGAATCTGCTGACTCTCTTGGGACCCTCAAAACTCAGACTCCATGTTGTAAGGAAGCCCAGTCTTCCTAACAGGGTGGTCACACCCTGGTGTTTCATTGAAACCAGATTAGGTTTCAACCTAGAGTCAGCATCAGCTGGCAGACACATTACTGAATAAGCCTTTAGAAGATTCTATCCATAGCCTTCAATGCCAAGTGGAACAGAAATGAGCTCTTTCTACCAAGCTTTGGACAGATGGCAGATTCCTGAGCAGACTAAATGTCACTGTTTAAGCATTAAGCTTTGCATTGCTTTATCATGCATCATTAGATAATTGCAAGACCTGCTGCCACACACTTTGTCCTTCAAGAGTTCAAGGTCATACTACTCTAGCTCCCATAGCACACACCAGTGTCTGTGTCTTTGCTCACATTCTGCAGAGTCATCTTCTCTTTCTTTGTCTGCATATCTCTTCCTTGCCCTTCAGAGGCCCCCCTTGTCCAGCATGAGACTCAGTTATGTGGCCAGTTCAAGGCTGTTTTTAAAATCCCAGCCACCCTGTGGCTGATTTCTGCACAGTGTGTTGGCACATGGCTGGCATCAAGGACAGCATCAGGACATGAGTGAGGGCTGTCAGAGCAATCTAGGTGATACGGTGAGGGCCTGACTGGAGGGAGGCAGTGGGGGTGTAGGGAGGCACTTATTCAGGGGCACCTGGCACTTGTTCAGGCACTTGTTCAGGGTGCGTTTATAACAGGATGGGCCCCAGTAAAGGGGGAGGTTCCAGGTTCCCTGCCCCATCCAAGGGAGGGTGGAGCTGAGCAGGGAAGAGAAGAGGCTGGAGAGACTGGAGAAGGAAGGAAGAAGGATGCGGAGCCAGGAGACCAGGAAGAGGCACAAGGGGCAGAGAGACATGTGAAGAAGCTGCACTTGCTTTTTGGCCCTGGACTGGCTGAAACAGATGTGGGTGAGAGACCCGTGGGGAGGTTAAGGGTGGCAGCTTTGATTTGATTTTGCTTTTGCTTTTTTCCTTCCAGACTTGTCTGGCCCCTTCTGCCCCTTTCCTATGGGTCCCCACCAGAAGGTCCTATAGACTTGTGGCAGGGTTTCGGGCCTTGCTTTGGGCCAACGCTCTTTGGATGGGCATTTATCCACGAGGGGATGGATTACTTTTGATGCTTGATTTGGAAACTTTATTCTTTCCCTTTTCTGTATTGCACACTAATTGCATTAAAGTCCCTTTCCATTGAAGGTCATAAGTAGCACTAGAGGGTGTTTTGTCTTGATGCGGTAGATGGCAGAACATATTTAGAGCAGGCAGGTTTGGGGTCCTAGGGTGCCCCTCTCCCTGCCCTGTAACAAGTTGACAGGGATGTCACCGATGGCACTGGAATTAAAGGGGCAGTGTGTCCAGCTTAAGTGTCAGGAGGGGGCAAGGTCCGGCATGGAAATTGGTGGCCCAGGAGGAGAAGTGTATATGAGTGAGGGCAGTGAGCAGTTTCAGAACACCCAAGTTTCTGGGCATAAAGCTCAGGAAGAAACTGTCTCCCCCTTCCAAGGTAGTAGTGAATTAACAGGACTGACTAATTTCTACCAAATTCCATGGCAGTCTCACGAGAGGAAGGTGAGGACAGTGGGAGAGAAAATTTGTGTCAGATCTTTTCCTGAAAGATACGTATTCGCTTTTTCCCGTAGAAACACAAATCTCCCACTTTCTCAGACTAGATGTTGGTAGAGGACTCCACCTAGAGTGAGCTGGCACCATTCCACATCTCTCACAGAACCAACCTCACCACCCCTGCGGCCCTGGCAGGTCTGGGTGCACTGGCAGAAGTATTGGCATGTATTTGGACCCCAGGTTCCAGGGGATGTAGCAGGCAGTGAAAATTCAGATATGTGGCTGCAGGGAAAGGAAGGGTGGGAAAATAATACCAGGAAAAGAAAAAGAAGTAGATGGAGAGTTTCAGTAGCACTCTCTGGCCAGGGTCACTTGGGGTGACAGCAGTCTGGCCCCACCTACTGAGGTTATGTGGAAGGACCGTGGGACCATGACCCCTGGATGGAGCAAGAAACAATGCAGACAATACAGAAGAAACAGAAATCCATCTGTAGAGGAGGAGCCTGGGTTTCAGAAGATATGCAGATGGGTCAGTGGGAGAAGGGACCCCTTCTCTGGCTGGGTGGCAGTCCACCCTCCACCATCTGGTAGATGATAAAGTGTGTGCACTGTGATGATTTGGGTTTTGGAGTCAAATAAGCCAGGCTCTGTTAAAAATGGTGTGACTACATATGACCTCTCTTAGCAGCGGTCTCTCCACTGATAACGGGAGGAGGTTAATACCTGTTCACAGAGCTGCTGTGCAGCTTAGTGAGAGAATGTGTTTTGTGTGTCCTGCCTAGGTCACAGTGAGGCATCACATACAGGAGGGATAAGAATTAGAGGCGCCCTCCAGTCCCTTAATGTCTTCCAAGTAGCTTAACCTTTGTGTTGCTGTTAGTGCTCTTATGGCATGAGAACTCCAGAACGAATTTCCTACAGAGTGTTACACAGAGCACCACTTGCTCCAGATGTTCCAGGTTGAAAGGATTCCCTGGAGAAAAAAATTAGAAAACTTTGCATGCTAGAATGCCCCTTCATGAGTATTTACAATTCATATTAGCATGGTAAATAATTAGAGAAAACCTTCGGTAAAGGCCTTTTTCACTTCGTTTATTCCAACTCTCTCCATACTTCTTTAACCATGGAACTACCCTCCTATCCCCAACACACACATATACTTTTTAAAAAAAAATACAGCAGATAGTAGCATCCTGCAAAATATACTTTAGAGAAAGAGTCTGTCTCTCAGAAGGCAGCTTATGGCAGAATCTGAGTCATGTGATTTCTTCACAAAGGAAAAGGAAAAATCACATGGACTGTATTATCTTTAAGTTAGCACACCATCATTTGCTATTTCCTTATTCTACTATTTTTCCCTTTTCATTGCATGTATTGCTCCCTAAAATTGCATAATGCATTTGATTTCTCAAGTATTGACAGCTCTACCTGCCAGAATGTAGACTTCATAGAGGAAAAAAATTATGAATATTTTTTAGGACACTATATCCCAAGTACTTGGATAAATGCCTGGTCAAAATTGGGGCTTAGTCATTGTTAAGTGAATGAAGGTGTCTTTAAACTACTCAAAGTGGTGAGCCCTTCTCCAGAATATGCACCCATCAGAGTAGCCATCCAGGAGGTGGCAGGGTTTTTTTAATGATCTGTCCACAATCATTTATGAATTCCCCCTTCAACATTACCTTCAGTGTACAGGCCACACAATTTACACAAGAGCATTTGTCAGCTGCCACACTTACTTAATTTGGTGCAAATCGAAGTCATTTCTGGATATCTCTAAACCTAAATTAAAATGTTAAAGATTT